AGTCAAACAAGGTTGACTTTTTTTGCATTTCTACAATTTTTTTTATTTTTCTTTAATTTTTATATTTCTATTTATTTAATTAAGAGATAATATAATAATTAAATTGTAAAATCTATTTAAAGTCAATTAGTTAATGAATGAAAATTTTTAAATCAATTTAAATGTAATTTAAAATTAAATTACCATTCAAACTATACTGTTTCAAACTAGAGAGTGTTTAATTTATAATCAAATCAATTCAATTTTGGAAATGAAATAAATAACTACTTAATTAATGAAATGAATGAAATCAATTAAAAATTAAAACTAATCTTAAGTAATTTTTGAAATAAAATCAATTATTACTTTAGATAATAAAAATGAATCAAATCTTTTTAAATTTAAAATTAAAACTAATCTCAAGCAATTTTGAAAATAAAATCGATATTAAGGAAAAAATAATTTTATAATTAATATGATATCAATGTTTTAGATGCCTATTAAAGAAAGAAATTATTTATTTTAATAAATTTAAAGAATGAGATTAATTTCAAATTAACAAATTTTAAAACTAAAGTCCTAAAAATTAATAATTACTTTGATTATTAAATATAAAAATAATTTCAATCTGTTTTAAAGATAAAATCAATTAAATTAAAAATAATTTATAATTGATGAAATAAATTAAATTGTATTTATTAAGTTGATTAGTTAACCCAACTAGTTACATTGGTTTAATAGTTTGAACCAGACCCAACGATCAAAACAGATTAATCACCGAGCCTAGTTTTAAAACACTACCATGAACATCTAGCGTAACAAGCTATTAATATAATTTTTAGACAAAAAAGAAATGATAATATTAATTGGTTCTAATTCTTAATCATCCGGTTCGTGCATGGTTTTGTATTTAGTTATCAAATTATCACTAAATCATCAACTTAATTATTATATAGCAAACATGGTATTAACGTGATTTCACAAACTTTCTCATCTCTTATTACTTTTCTTTTTAGCACTTTCTTATTCTAGGAGAACAAAAATAGTGTTTATATATATATATATATGAGGGTTAGTTGCTTGGTATTATAAAAATTTGAAATTTTGATCTTAATCATAAATTAAAGTTTTTAAATTAATGAGTACCGACTCGACCAAACTTTTATCGGTGAAAGGAGAGTGGTAAAGATGAAAAGTCTTGCTAGCATTCTTCTAATTACTCTCTTTTGAATGGAGAACATTTGCTTGACCAACTGCAACAAGGACTCATATCCATTGTTGCTAGCCATCTTGGTTACAAAGGATTTTTTTTTTTTTCTTTGAAAGGCAAAAAAAAGGGGGGGTAACATTGGAGGTAGGTAAATTCAGGTCTTGAATTTCATCCTTTGAAAAAGAAAGGAGGAAAACTGGTAACATTAAATCTTGCAATCGTGCTTTAATAATAATGATGGACCACAGACCAACAGGGTTTTGCTAGAGTTGAAAACGCGTAAACGTATCATGATGTTTGAATTTGAGAGGATGGGTTGAGAGTGTGTCAATTACCCTTTCCAGAACGACTTACATGGGTTGCAATCAAAAACCATAAAGTACATGGGCCTTAGTGGCCCAAAATGACACAAGTTGAAATGTCCTCAATTTATTCCCCACGTGTGCTGTAGCTTATTATTATCACAAGTCCAAGTTATAACGGATCCAGTAGGAGATTTTTTTTTTTCCTTTTCTCGTATATATGGTCAAGTGTTTTTAGGTTGATTTTTGCATACGTTGGAAATGAATTCCTTTTTAGTTAATCTTAAAACTTACATCAACCTACATTAATCAAGAAAATTAATTCCTTAAAACTTAAAATTTAAATTTGACGTACAAAATGATATTTATTATTGAATACAATCCTTGGAGTTTGGATATAGTAGAGGTCTTGCAGGATAATAATAGCAAGTAGG